TAAAATAGATAAATTTAGCTGGAGGTGTTGGCAGTCTGGAGGCTGAAGGAGGAGGATGGTCACAGGTTAAGAGGTCAGCCTGAGCTACAAAGTTCAACCTCAGCCTGAACGGCATGTCAGGACCCTGTCTCAAAATAACAAAGGAAAAAAGAGAGAGAAAGAGAGAGAGTTACAATTTAATATTTGACATGCTACATTCTTAGAATTATGGTATTCTTTTTGTATATTTCCAAACTTGTTTTAGCACATTTACTAGATTGTAAAGCTCTAATGGGATTTTCCTTATCTTTGTCGTGTGTGCCATCTTGTGGTGGAACTTTAGAACTGCATCCTTCCTCTTCAAGCTAACAAAAGATGGAGTATGATTTCACTGCAGTTATATGTTGATAATATAGCAGAACATTATGTGCCGTGTCAGGCCTATAACCTATAGCAAAAGTCACTTCTTAGAGTTAGTTGGGTCCAAAAATTATACAAGCCTTACATTTGTTTCTTTATATATCTGGGACTCATGCCCAGGTCTCAGTAGAATTCCAGGTGTGTTTGATTTCCTGGTGATGGGTCTATGCTGGGAAACAATTTTTATACAATAAAAATCTGTCATCTACTGCTGAGTTGGAATCTCTGGACTTTGTAAGATTTCTTGTAACTTTCAGCAGTGAATTCATTTTTCTGGGTTTCTTTAACAAAATATCCACAAACTAGGTGGCTTAAACAACAAACATTTGTCTCAGTTTGGAGGCTAAAATCCTGGGATCAAAGTGAAAGCAGAGTCAGTTCCTGCTGGGGCTGCAAGAAAGACTGTCTGCTCCCTGTGCCCTGTGTTCTGGTGATGTCTGGCAGTCCTGGGCGTTCCTTGGCTTGCAGAAGCATCACACCAATGTCTGCCTTTCCTTCATATAAAGTTCTCTGTGTGTTCTTGCGCCAAGACCTCCTCCCCTTTGGATAAGGACACGAGTTATAACAGCTGAGGCCATTCCAATGACCTCATCTTGACTCATGCCGTCTCCAACAACACCAATTCCAAACAAGACCATATTCTCAGGCACTGAGAATTAGGACTTCAGTGTATGGAACTGGGCGATACGGTTCAACCCATAACAACCACCGATCTGATTACACATTCAGACTTTGCTTCTCCCTGCTGGATGGTTATATATGCCTGTCCCATGGCTTAGCCTTGAGATCACTTTCACTGGTAAAACATTAGTAGAAGTGATGTGAGTATCTCCAAGAAGAAACTTATAAGAGCTTTTCTCCTTCGTGCAGGCTGAATTCCAGCCAGGCTGTTTCATCAGCGTGTGTCTCAGAATGACAGTGGCATGGGCGGAGCTGTGGTGCTTAAGTACTGTGAGACAAGAATAAGCCTTATGATTTGAGGCTCTCTGGCTGTGATTGTTTGGCAACTCTCATAGATTAACATAAACTGACTGACCCAAAAAGTATCAGATTTAAATTGGGTGATATCAGAACTTTGCTCCTAATAGGAAGGGGTTTTGTTAATTCATTCATCAGATACTTATTGAAAGCTCACCAAGTGCTAGGCATAGAACCATGCGCCAGGCACTATGGTGTGTTGGCCAGGCTGCCGTACGCCTTTACTCACACGCCAGTCTAGGCATTGATGTGAAAGTATTTTTAGGTGAGTTTAACATTTAAATCAGCAGACTCTGAGGAAAATAGATGATCTGCTGTGCTATAGTATTGGACTGCGTTCATTTGAAGACCTTGGGGGGAGAGGGCTCTGCCTGCCCCACTCCCACTCCACCCCAGATAAGGATTCTGCCTTAGACAAGTGACAGCAGTCCTTTCCTGAGTCTCCAGTCCATGGCCTGCTCTGCAGATTTCACACTTGCTGGCCCCTACAGCTGCGTGAGCCAATTCCTTAAAATAAATCTCTCACTCATCCTATTGATTCTGTTTCTCTGGAGAGCCCTAATAGCGACACATGTCAATAAGACAAGCTATTTTCACATTCTCGGGGCAGATAGAAATAAACAGAAACTCACACTGTGTATGAAACTGTAGAAAGCACTGGGTTCAGTGACATCTTGCAGGAGGACTTTGATTTGGGGTGTCAGGGGCGATTGCAGGAAATGACTTCTAGCTGGAGAGTTGAAAGTGGCAGGTAGGGCCGACATTAACCAAGTGCGGGGCCAGGGTGATGGGGGCCAGGGGATCGGGTTAAATAGAAAATACACATTCTCGGCCTGGGGATTTAGCTCAGCGGTTTGGTGGCCTGCCTCGCAAGCTCAAGGACCTGAGTTGGATCCCCGGTACCACCAAAAAAAAAAAAAAAAAAAAAAAAAAAAAAAAAAAA